TTTCTCCTTTTTGTTCATCTTATCCTGCAAGATAGAAGTGCAGGTAGAACTACATTTTGTGAACCAGTCAGATTTCTGGGAGGCTCTAGCCTCATCATTTTAAAAAGTGTTTGCGAGATTGGCCTGTTCTAAAGGGCACTGTGTTGCAGGCTCGCTCCTGCATGGCAGACATTCCATGTTAGCACGCATGCTCGCGCGGGTGCCTGGGTGAATTCTTGACCCACATTCCCGGGACCCAAGCTGCTGCTTGAGCCCATTCTAGTACTTAGTCATTAGTTAGAAGTCCTAGATTTTTTGAGAAAATACTAAGTTTGTTTATCTTTAAAGGAAAGGCATGAAATACACAATGAACTATTCTGAAAACCTCTGAATTCTTTCACATGTATAAATGCAAAGAAGCGATTGTACTTCTCTATCTTGTGGTCGTATTTTTGGTGTGCAGACCTATCCCCAACCCCCCAAGGAGCTTTAGTTTACTTAGGTAGGAATCAGGAGTGCTGCCGCATGAAGTCATTGGGATGCATACCTCGATACAGGTGAACATTCAGCACTTGCCGTGGGACGTGTGAATAAAGAGTGGATGGCTGGGTGGACAAAGGTCATCTCTCCTAATTTGACAAAATGCATGAGCAGAATGGGGTCTCTTATCTCTGAGCAGATAAGACAACTTAGATTGCAGAGTCTGCACTCTAGCTTTTTGGAAACACCTAGAATCTTCTGACAGTTATAGCACTGGTCAGGCGAAGAGGTTCCACAGACGGCATAACTCCCTCCTTAGACAGCTCCTCAGGGGCGGAGGGAAGACCCTGGTGTGTGGTGGGGTACGCCTGGCACCCTCGGGGGCCACACAAATGTCAATGGCAGCGTGACTGTTGTTTGGCAGGTTAATGCCTCATTTGTCAGGCCATATGCTCTGAGTAAAAACATTTTCCTAACTATTTGAAGCCTAACTTTTAAGCAGGAAAACTCAATTTACTTTAACCACATTGATGGAAGAGTTTTCACATTTCCTTGACTTCTCCGACAGTATACTGGATACCATTGAACATTTCCTTTGTGTTTCCGGGTATCCTGTATGGCTTTGTATTGATGTCCTCACACGTGACTGAGGCTTGTTTGTGTCTCAGAAAATGACCACACCAGTGATTTACTTCTTCATAGGTTTTTTTTTTTCCTTTTCCAACATTGTTTAAGCTGTCATTTGTCATGTCTTATTATGCTCACTTCTATTCATTCCTCATTCCCCCTTCTAATTTATGCTGTGGGTTAGGAAGCCCAAGTTATCAGGCCTATGATGTGCCACATGAATGAATTATGCTTCCATCAGGAGCGCAAAGCTTCTAGCTCCTTGGTCCAGCCCGGCTCCCGAGAGAGAAAGAGAAGGCAGGAGGAAGGCACGCCCAGGTCCGGGGCCTCAAAACACCGTCAGACACACACGAGGAGGCTGTGAGTTCGGGGCGCAGAGAGGACGGCCATGTAGAGAGAATGGCCCTCGCTCCTGGGAGCCCAGGAGTGGGGTGGAGTTGTTTCCCTCTCACAATGAAGAGTTTGACTGCCCGGAGGCTGTGGGAAACATGTCTCCTGAGTTCTTGTTTCCCGCCAGGTGGCTGACGTGGCTGGATAGGTAGCTTCCGGGCGAGAGGGGAGCTGTGCACTCGCCGGCCCTGAAGTCTGACCCACTTCAAGCTTCAGCTTCTTCACTTCAAAGTGAAAAGAACCATTTCCAGAGGTCCCTTTAGAGTGTGACGGCCAATTGATGAAGTGTCTTTACGAAATCCACGCCAGTCCCGGGCGAAGCTCCAGGAGTGTCCCTTCCATGTGGGCACTCGGAAACCCTCCGGAGGGGCTCGCTCTCCCTGGGCCGCCAGTGTTGCTTATGGCTCGTCCGCACTCAGCTGGACATTCGATCTCTCCAGACTCCTCAGGAGATGGAAAGCCATAGCCCCGCAGCCTGAAGCTTAAAACCCGAGGGCTGTAACATGGTGCAGCCACTATGGAAAACAGCATGGCGGTTCCTCAAAAAGTTGAACAGAACTTACCCTGTGATCCAGCAGTTCCACGTCAGACGACGTACCCCCCAAAAACTGAAAGCAGGGTCTTGAAGAGATATTTGCACACCCATATTCATAGCAGCATTATTCACAATGACCAGAGGGTGGAATCAACCCAAAAGTCCATTGACACATGAATGGATAAACAACATGAGGTCCCTACATACGGTGCAATATTATTCCATTTTATAAAAGAAGGAAATTCTGACACAGGCTGCACCATGGCTGAACCGTGAGGACATTACACTGAGGGAAATAATCCAGTCACAAAAGAACGAATACTGTACAGTCCTCACCTACAGGAGGCGTCGGATTCATAGACACAGAACATGGGAGGGTGGGTGCCGGGGCTCAGGGAGGGGACTGGGGCGCTAGTGTTTGTTGGGGCAGAGTTTCAGTCTGGGAAATGAAGAGGTTCTGGGGACGGATGGTGGTCCTGTTCGCAGAACCATGTGAATGTGCCTAGTGCCACGGAACTGGACACTTAGAAATGGTGAGGATGGTAAGATTATATATATTTTGCCACAATAAAAAGGTAAAAACAAAAGAGTGGAGGCTGAGAGAGCCAGAGCTACGTGCTTCAGGGAGCAGGTGGGTCCCTGGCAAGGACACTGTGTGGTCACATGGATGGGCACTTCCAAATGGCGCCGAATCCCGAGAAATAATGTTTTGTGAGAAATACAAATAACTATCTGTAATTGTTGAGTTGGTAACAGCATGTTGTTTTTCATGACATCTTGTTAGAAAAATTTGGTCAAATGAGTTATTATACTAGTAATAATCTTAATAATGGGTTAGGAGACAAGATACAGTTTTTCTTCGGCCAAGGATATAATTTTGAAAAACATTGCTTTCTGTTGTGAATTAGAATGTGTTAAAATGGTAAGTTCATAGAATTAGGAAAAGTTTTGATTTTTCTTAGAACAAGTAAACCTCTATTCAAATCTGAATGTACCTTATATTGGCAGGGGAGAGGAGAAATCTGTGATATAAGTGAAAAACAAATGTAAAACTGCTCATTTGTGACACATGCCTTCCTAAACTCCCCTCCTCTTCCTGCATTCGTATGAACGAAGACAGAAAGCCCCAGAGGCTGGAGGTCTGTTGACTGAGAAGAATGACGTTGGCCGTAAAATGGCCTTGAAATAACTTTGGGTGGTGTCCCTGGCAACACAGAGTCGGAGGAGCCTGGGCGGAGCTTAATTTCAGGGCCAGAGGCGGGGCTTGGGGAGGCGGCTGGATTGAGCTTGGAGGGTCTGTGGACGGCGGAGATTTTTAAAGGAATCGCGAGAGCAGGGAGCTCGGGGAGGAATAATGTGGCACGTCTAGTTCTTTCTCTGGAAATTTTCAGTGCAGTCTCTCTCTCCGTGGCCTGGGGAGGTGTGTGGGCTTTTGGGGACATGATGCCGTGTCCAGTGCTGCTTCATAGAGGATGTGACAAAGCCCTCTTCTCAGCTGGTGCAAACTAAAGATAATCCTCATGCTAATGTCAGACTCCGGCTGCTTCCCTTCTCAGCTCAGGTCGCCAAGCCCATGCTGCTTCCACAGTCGGAGGGGAATGCACAAGTCTTATTTCTTATTGTGGCAAGTCAGTGTTTTTCCAGATGCATCTTCCCAGGACCCAGACACAGTGTTTTCTCTCTCACCCTTCTCCCTAACCTTCTCTTCCTAATGCCTTAGGTTTCTTTTCTCTAAATAATCTCTACTCTAACTTGAATGGAAGCTTCCCTGCAGAAATGGAACCCTCAATATTAATTCGGTTTTATCAACGGTAACCGCCACAGTGGGCAAAACCCCGAAGCTCCGTGGTTTAAGGAATCAAAGGGTAATTTCCCCCTCCTGGCACGTGTCCACCTCAGGTCAGGAAGGGGCTGCTCCACAGCCTCCCTGGTGCCCTGGCTGAAGGGAGCTCGGTCACCTCATAGAGGGAACGCCTGCAAAACATGGGCCTGGAGGTTACTGTGAAAGAGGGGACGAAGGGGCTGGACGAGGCACAGAGCTCGTGACTGTCTAGGCTTGGAAGTGACACCAGCCCCTTCTGCTCATAGTTCTATTGGCCAAAAGTAGTCACATGGCCCCAGCCTGACTCCAAGGGAGGCTGGGAAATGTAGGGAAGCACCTGGGATATTCAGTGAGCGCTCACTTTCTCTGCTACCACTACTCATCGGAGTACTGTGAAGCGGAAGTTTCATTTTACTTCGAACAACTTTTGAATATAATTTTTATATGATAGTGCGCTAATCTGCCTTGGGGACATGTGCACCGGAGGGCGTGTTTCCCCGGTTTGCCAACTGTTTTACCAGAATGCAGTTTCTCCCGACTGGGACTCCTGTTGGCACTGGACTGATGGCCGTGACCTTTGGTTGACAATGCTGGAATCCTTTGTCACTATCCCTCTTCCTTTTAGAAGCAGCCCGCCCTTTCGTGGCCCCCTGCCTGCATCCCGCCGCTCCGGAAATCTGCGATCTGGTGGTGGTATCCCGACGGGAGGCCAGGGAGGGGAGGAAGGGGACGCTGCCCTAACTTGCTCCTTCTGTCTTTCCTCTGCCCTCCTCAAGGCTTTTGTGTTTTGTTGAAGGAAACAGCGTCTCAACTGCCTTTCTTTGGCCCTTAAGACCCGATGCACGGGGTAGGCTGCAGACGAGAGCTGGCAGGAACGGGGCGGTTCACTGTGGCACGTCAGCCATCGGTGGGGTCCCTGCCTGTGAATCCAATGCTGGTCATGGATGCAAATAGTACCAGAACCTGAGACGCGAGAGAGCCTTTCAAAAAAGACAAAAAGATAGCCGTTCTTTCTCCTTGGGTATTGTAGACAGGAGAAGTTATAAATCTAATCATTTGAAATCTTGCCCAATTTAGGCATCATAAATGATCCAAGTAGGCTTTCAGATTTAAAACAAAGGTAATCCTATGAGCAAATGAGTTTTTCCCTTCTTCTCTCTTCTCTAGGCCTTTCCTCCCAGCGCCATCACTGTATTTTTTTACTGCAGTTCAGTGACTCTATTCTTCACAATAATCAAAGTGGTCAGCTATCGCCTGCACCTGATGTTTGATAAAGGAGAAGTAATTCAGCAAAGGCCCTCCAGAAAGAAGGAAAAGCCAAGTAAAAACAAAGAGGCCAGCCGCGAACATGCAACTAACCACAAAACCCCAAGGTAACATTTCTAATGAGTGCATTAGCTCATAATTTGCATGTTTTCATTCTGATTAAAATATTTTTTCTCATCTATCGGTCTTTTATAAAAATGTGTCAGTACAGGAGGATACAAATATGTACATTGTTCTTACACATGCATAAAATTGACATTGGTAATGAAGATGGTTTAAGTGGCTACTGACGGGACCTTAAATCACACTCCGAAATCCATTTGCATTAGGCTTAGCCAGCAAAATGTTTTACTTCTGTATTTTTCTCTTGTCCTGTCAATGCTTAGTGCCTGCCGGAGTATTTCCTAAAAGAATTTTTGGGTCTGTTCATGTAAAAGTAGTACACAGCATAGAACTGAACACTAGGAATAATTCTCGGAGAAACATCACTGCCGCCCGCTATTCTCGCCCTTATTTCCGATGTTTCCTTAACACGTGTCTTATTTTAAAGTACTGTTTATTACTCTGTCTCTAAAACATAATCTGTATACAATGATTGTGATGAAATGGAAGCTCGGGAAAAGACATCTGGGGACTAGTACCGAAAGAGTCATGGTCCTAACTGCAGACATCGCTGCTCTTGCGTTTGCAGCCACATTAGCAGCCACAGGCAGATCAGCGGTGGCAGCGGCGGCAAGAAGGACGAGGCCGGCCGGCTCTGCTCCACGCCTCCCCTGCGCTGCGGCTCCCAAGGGCGGAGTGCCAGCTCTCGCCACTCTTCCGCGCGGCAGGTTCGTGCGGGGCTTCCCGCCTCTCCTCCTCCTGTCGCTGGGCTGGGGACCCCACCTGGGATGGGGTGCGCGTTGCCATGGCAGTTCCCAGGCACGCTAGCTGGGAATCCTGGGCCCTGGGCTGGTGGCTGGCAGAGCACGTCGCAGCGTGAGGCGGTGACCGGCCCGGCGGAGGGGCGCGCCTGGATCCAACGATAAACACGCGGCTGTGTGCTGGTGGCAGCCACCTGCCGCCTGCCCCTCTGGCCCTGGAGCGCGTGATAGACCTCCATCCCCCTTCCCCTGGAGTCAACTTCAATTCTCCACATCAGACCACGCCTGTCCCTTAAAAAGGCAATAAATCGCCTTTCCTCTAGGTCACTGTCATTGGGCTTTAGTCCCTAGAGTAAGAAGTAGCACATTTTTCCTTCTCCTTTTTAGTTGCTTAGTTACCAGACTCCCTTTTGTCACAGTACAGCGGTCTTCGTCGGATGCCTCCACTTACGCGCATGTTTTGGTTGTGCCTCTTTGCTCCCCGTGCCATTGCGGAAGCTTGAGCAGGGGATGGAGGTGGGATGGTCTCTTCCCGGCGGGGCGGGGGCGGGGGCGGGGGCGGGGGCGGGGGCGGGGGCGGGGGCGCTGGCTGTCCGCAGAGGGGCCCTGCGCTGAGTCAGGTATTGATCGTCCTTCTTTCATTATTCAGGAGCTGCCAGCCCAGGAAACAGCGGAAGATCTCAAAGGTAGAGCGTTTGCCCTCATCAGTTAATGTTTTATCCCAGCGTTATTCTCAGCGGAGTGAAAAATAATTTTGTGAAACAGAATCCTAGTGAAATAAATGAAAATAAGAACTATACCTAAGACGGCATATAGTTTGACTTCATTTCTTTTACTCTTAATTTTAATAATTTCTCATCAGAATTTGTATATCATGTCTATGTACAAATTGTGTAATTTTATTGGTCATACTTCATCGTCCTTTTTCTAGTCGGGTCCTCATTTCATATGGCTTGTAGTAGCAGATATAACATAGAATAAATTTATCATTGACATACAAACCTGGAAAATAACACAGGAAGTAATAGCACATCCTGTATATCTGTTTTGCTTTCCAGTTACAGATTTTGTTTCCAGGAACTTCCTTTTAACCCCCTAAACTTTTGTTTTACTTTTGCACTGGGATTTAATTTTATTGTGTTACAATTACCTTCAAGAGACTTAGAAAAGAACATTCGAGGCCTAAGTTAACTCCTGTCTCTGCAATTTTATTTTTTCCGTAATTGCAACAAAGAGAAATTTATGCTCTACATTTTGAAAATAGTGCAAAATTTTATTTTCTGGAAAACAGCTGAATTAGCACCATGGCCCCCAAAACCTAAAAGGATGCTTCTTTCTTATCACTCAGATAAATTTCACGGGTAGTAATTTAGAGCGGATTTTCCAGATTCTTTTTCCTGTATCACTGCTCTTGCAATGGAATGCGCATTAGCTGGATCTCAACCGTTTTCGCCGCATACACAGTGTCAGAGCAGCGCTGGTGGCAGCTTGTGGGGCAGGAACTCCCCATCCTTTTCCCAAAGTGACCCGAAGGCCGGGGACCACGGGCATATGCCCCTGGCTGCTCAGGCCCTGCCTCCAGAGACCTGGTTGTAGACTGAATCTACAACCACAAGGGGTAATTCAAAAAAATACGTGTGTCTTAATTTTTTTCATCTTTTTCATAGTATGCCCATTTGTCTTGATAATAAGGTGATGTTTTATATTACTTTAAGTATTGTAGTATTTATTTATGTTTCTCCAGTATTTGAGGAAAATGAGAAGTTGCTTATCCCGTTTTTCCCGTGGTTTTGCAGACACTCGGACCCCCGAGACTATGTATTGTGATAGAAGTGAAGGCATTTATTGACTGCGTGACCATACGCTAGGGAACAAAGAAAAACCAAAAGATGACCCCCAGGTTTCTAGCCAAAGAGGCTTGGGAATGGAAGGGCTGGGAATGGGAATACAGGGAAGCTGGGAGAGGGACAGAGTCATTTCAGCTGCCATCATAAGTAAACACTGTTTGCAGATGCAGTTGAAAATGCTTTGAAAATACATGAATCGCATCAGAAGTGCAAGGTTATTGTCGTCCTGGAGCCAAGGTGCCGACAAGCCCATGGCTAGTCCTCGGGCTAGTGTTTTCCTTGTGCCTCCCCAGAGATCCCCATGGCAACCTTAAGAGGCTGGTATTGTCATCCCCATTTTACAGATTAGGAGGTGGAGGGAAGGGTTTTGCTCCCCTGGGGACATCTGACCATGTCTGGAGGCATGTTCATGGTCACAAACCAACCGAGGGCCGAGCTGCTATTGGCCAGCATTGGGTAGAGGCCAGGGATGCTGCTAAACAGCCTACGGTGTGCAGGACGGTCCCCACAGAGTGAATTACCTGCTCCAGAAGGTCAGAAGTGGCGCAGCTGAGCAGCCTTGGCCTGGAGGGGGTCAGTAACTCGCCCAGGGTACCGCAGCTGCTGGACAGCAGCCGGGAGCTTTCTGACTGCAGCTCCCAAATACGCTGTTTAAACCTTATCAGGCTGCCCCCAAGGCCGCAGAACAGCAAAGGCTAAACAGCAAAAGCTGAAAGTCTGAATTATGCTCAGTGTAGACCTTTTGAGACCAGTTTCACAGGGGAGATGATTTTTATAATCACTTTGATTGCTGGTGTATTTTTAGTTGTGTTCTTATCCGGTCTTGGTCTGGGCCGCTCGTTGTCCATTTTGAATGCTAATCAAGTTGCTGTTGTTGTTGATGTCAGGTGTCATCCTGGCAGAAGACCAGCCTGCAGCACCCGTGTCCTCTACCTCACCTGGCGTCCAAACGGAAAGCTCACCGCCTTCTAAAGCGCATGTGCCGGAATCCGTGACCACGTCCACAACCCCAGCGCAACCAGCCATGGCAGAAAGAAATGACGAAGGGAAGGGAAGAGGAGGCAAGGGGCAGCCCCCCTTCCGCCACAGGTCCGAGGGCGGCTTGGCGGATAAAGGCACCTTGAAGAAGTTGCCACGCCTGTCTTTGTCCCAGCGAGACTTACTAGAAACAGATGTTTCTTTCCAGCCTTGGGGGAGTGAGAACTCGGTCCTGATTCCAGAGCCCCTGCATTCTGCCCGGGGCTCCATAAGGGAACAGTTGCAAAGCACGTCCCCTCAGGACAGCCTGAGCAGCAGCTGGCCCCAGTGTAACACCGTGGCCGCCAGGCCTGGGCGGGAGCCAGAGGACACCTCCCAGCGCGGGGACGCCTCCCGGGTGGCGGGTCCGCCCTCGACCCGGGAAGGGGACTGCTCGGAGGGCGAGGTCGCTGTTACTCTCATTGACACCTCTCAGCCTGGAGACCCGCTGAGCCTGCACGAGCCCATTAAAATCGTCATCACCATGAGCAGTGCGCCGAACTCCATGACAGACTTGGAAAGCTCACTCCACCTGAAGGCGACTGGCACCGAGAGAGTCGCTTTCGAGTCAGAGGCCGAGCCGGCTACCCCAGGGGGGCCCAGTCCTCCCAACGCGGAGCAGCGAAGAATTCCAGTCATCACCCTTGAGCTGTCTGAGGACGAGGGGGGAGCCAGTTCGTGTCCCGAGGGCAGTGGAGATCAGAGGACTCCAGAGAGGAGGGCCGTGGAGGCATCCTCTGCTCAGTGTTCGGGCTGCGAGTCTGGGGAGGGGACAGATGCCACAAGGGGCCGCAGCCCTTCCCTGGGGGACCACTGTGAAACAGCCCCCCTGTTCCCACCCACTGCGGCCCCCAAGTCCGAACAACGAAAGGAGGGCCAGGCCAGCCTTGACCCATCATCTTGTAAAACGGGCCACGAGAAGAGACATGCCCGGGTCCTCAGTGTGGACAGTGGGACAGATGTCATCTTCAGCAAAAGTTCCACAGAAATTACTAACGATAAAGAGAAAGCAATACCAACTTCCAAATCTGACCTCGAGGCGAAGGAAGGGCAAACCCCCAATGAATCCAACTTCCTGGAATTTGTCTCCCTGTTAGAATCCATCAATACTTCCAAGGGGGTGGCACCCAGCCCAAGGAACGGCCCTGCAGAGCCGGACAGAGAAACCGGGCTCCTCAGAGGTGAGAGTCACACCAGTTCTGTCCTGACAATACAGAGAAGGCGACGCATCTCTGTTATTTGCCTTCTGTGATTTTGCAAATAGTGGGGCCACTATTGAGCATTGAACGCTGCTTTGCTGCTTAGCTTATCACTGGTACTGGCCGAAGTTGTCAATACTGAGCTATGTGATGAGCATATATTAAAATTGGCTACTCCACCAGGAAACTTAAGGCATAGAAGTGGGTGTTTGGCTTCCGTAGAAGGCGAGGATATTTATTTACAAGGAAATAAGCAATTGTGTTTTACCACAGTGACAAGAACTTGTGACAGGTGCCTGTCTCTTCCTTTATAGAAGAGACACATTTTGGAAAGCGGACTGTAGAGTGAATTTCTGTGAAGCAAATCCACTTTTCTGTTGAATTCCATGATAAAATCTCATATTCAGATGAGATTGGGCGTGTTCAGGATGGTATGGCCATAGACTATAAAATCCCATATTCAGAATTACTTAATTATTGCATGTTGTGAACATACTATAACATGCACAGCTCTTGGGTTCTGCCAGGCACCGTCTGAAGCATTTGACTTAGGTGAACAGAGTGACCGTGCATTGTGTTTTGCCCGAGAGAGTCCTCGTTTACTCTTGTTTTGCCTTCCACTCTTTAAAGCGTTCCCAATTTGAACAATAAGTCATGCAGTTACTCTCATATTAACTCATTGACTCTTCATGTAACCTTACGGTATGAGTACCATTATCATTCCTTTTTTGCAGCTCAGATACTGTCACTAACTTTCCCAAGTTAGCCTCGGAGGTTCCAGAACGGAACTTTGATCCCAGGCAGTCTTGCTCCAGAGTCTGTGCTCACAAAGGATCAACTATTTCTGTATGAATATAGAATTCACTTATTTTCAGGTTACAGCTCTGGGCCTTTGTTTCCTCACTGGTAAAAAGCTATATCCCTCACCTAGGGTTTTTACTATGTCTTTTCACTTTCAGTGCCCACCTGGCTGTGATTTTTGAGTACATCACTTCTGCGTGTATCTCTGGTGGGACAGTGTCCGTCCGGTAGGGCTGCTGTGGAGGCTGTGACCGCAGATCCTCTCTTTGCTGATGGTTGTAGGGTCTTTGGTGTTGGGGTCGCCTCTCACTGCTGGCTGTGCTTGGCTCCGCTGGGCTTTGCCCCCTGGGACAGGCCAGGCAGCCCCTCTGGCTCCACGCTGGCAGCTCCCAGCAATTGGCTTTTGTTTCTTTTGTCTTTTCTGCGCTCTGCCAAAAGGATTGCGTGCTTGCCGATTGGTTCAGTCTTGCTTGAAAACTTCATTAAGTTTGAATATTTAAATTATGTAAAGCGAATGTGTTCTCTATTTTACTGTGTCTGTGTATTTAAGATTTTGCATATAGAGTAATAGCAGGACAGATTCAGTTAAACTTTTTAATAGATGTAAGGCAGTACAAGAAAGCATTGGTTACTTTGAGATAAAAAAATCTTTCTGAGATAAGACTTGGGTGTTCATTGTCTATTTAATATAAAGATCCATACACTTAGGCCAGCACGCTCCCGCAGACCTTTCTGCACTGATGGAAATATCCTGTATCTGCTGTCCACTAGAATACCCGCTAGTCACATGTACCTATTAAATCTGGGAATGGAGATATGCAGCTAAATGTTTAATTTTATTGAATTAAATTTTTAGTTTTATTGAATTTTAATTAACTGAATAGCCACATGTATCTGCTGGCTGCCGTACTGGATGGCGCTGGGCCAGATGACCGAGTGTCTGCCCGGGAGCCGCGGGCAGGGAGGTGGCGAGCTGGCTTTGGAGCCTGAGAGCCCAGGGCCAGATTCCGGTTGGCGGCTCCAGCTAAGTGAGCTTGGACAACCTACCAAATCCTCCTGAGTCATCGTTTCTTCAATAAGCAGGAGTTACTATCCTCGGAGGGTTCAATTAGGAAAATACGTGAAAAGTCTTGCTCCTTGATCAGTTTCAGCTTTTTATTCTGATTTTCCCCTCAGGCCATAAGTAAGGGGTTTTTTTGGGGGTTTTTTTGGGTTTTTTTTGTTTTTTGTTGCTTTTTTTTGGTTTGTACACTGATTCTGCTCTTAAATTTTTCAGCCAGCCACATTCAATCTGAACACTGTCAAAACAGAAATCGAGGGGTGTGTGAAGAGGTGCGGCTGCTTGGAGGTTTTCTGTGCCAAGGAGCGCGCCTGGTTGTCGGGAACTTCCAGGGGCGGCGGGAAGGGAGGAGCTGAGTGAATTACGTGCCTCTTCCAGGAAAGGGCAGAGGCTCTTGATTGAAGGGTGACGAGAAGGACAATGAGGCTTTTAGTGCTTGGAGGGCGATCAGTGCTACAGGGCAAATTGATGGTTGTCCAGTGGTGCCTTATACCTTTGTGACGGTTGGTATCTTCTTGCTCCTTTATCACTAAGTAATACTTTGCAATTTATTTTAATCTAAAAACCCAATTTGGAGTGTGTTGGTAAAACGACATGACAGTACTTAGCGATAGTAACAGCCTAGAGAATGCTCCCGATCTTTTCCCGCTTGGTGACACGGGGCTTGGGACAGGGCAGCATTGCAGGGACAGGTGGGTTCCCGAGTCCCTCTGCTGTCCCCCGGGCTTCCCCTGTACTGTACTCTTACATCCACCCCGGCTACCTCCGCAAGGGTGCCAGGACTGTCTTCAGGACTTGGAGACACTCTGAGGCTATGGAAAATGGCGCACTGATCCAAACACTTTAAAATCATAGTTTGGTTTTCTTTTGATGCAGCTTTATTTTACTTTGTGGAAATAAAGAAAGACCACCCAGGTGAGAGGAGCCTTCAGTATATCACCTGTGTTTTGGCAGAGACTCAGCGGTAGGCCGAGGAACGAGGGAGCTGTGCAGTGGACCGACGGAAGCTTCCAGGAGCGCTGATTGGAGGCTGCTGGCGCGGGAAGCAGGCGGTGGCCGTAGAGCGTCCTGTGTGGTTGAATGGGGACCCTGTTTGGCTTTTTCTGATTGGTCCTCAGTTGGAAGCAGGGACAAAAATTAGGGAAGCTGTCAGTTATTAATCAAGTCCTGGCCTTTGGGGCTGATTATTACAAGGGTTATTATTTGGCTCCCTGGACCATTGGCTAGAAATAGTGGTCTGACTTCCTACAAGTCCATAGTATTTGGCTTCCTGGGCTGATTACTGTGGATAATGGGTTGTTTTGGGGGCTGGTTGCTATAGATTGTGAGTCAGAGTTCTATTCATGCATATATATGTGTACACACACACACACACACACACATAAAACCTGGCCATTGTCCATTTCTATATTTGGTTTCCTCCAGACTCTTTTTGCTTCCAATGGTTGAGCTATTTTATTGCACCTTTGGTGACTGGTTGTGGTGTAGGGCCCTGCAGAGTCTAAGAAAATAATTATGAATGTATGTAGAGCTGCTTACTGAAGAATCATCTATAGTATGGAAAAATGGAAACAACTTAGATTTATAACAGTAGAGGTCTAGTTCAATAAATCATACTGTGACAATGTCATATAACTACCATTTCTGGATGATACAGAAGAATGTCTAATGTCATTAAATATTTATACTTTAACATAAATATAACAGTTATAAAACAGCATCTGTAATATGACTTAATTTTTGTAAAAAAAAGTACATAGATGTGCCTTGAAAAAAAGGCTGGTGTGATATGTATCACGTCGGCTCCTATGTCACCATGGTAGGGTTGAAAGTGATTTAAATTATTTTTCTAGTTTTAAATTATATACAGTTCATGTGCACCATTGTACCATTTTAATAAAATTCCAATAAATGTGTTTTTTAAAGAGAAAAGGAAAAAATAGTGTGTATGTTGACATGTGTAATATATCCATTTAAGAGAAGGAGAGACTAAGATATTAAAATATATGAACAAATGATTCCAAATACACATGTCATGAAGAGAGTTGTCTAAATGTCCCTTTCACATTTTATGTGGCAGTGATTACTGGAGAAAGCTATTTGTTATAATAACCCTTTCTCTCAAATGGTTTTTTTTTTGAAAACTATGAAAACTTCTATCTTGACAAGTTGTGTAATGAAATAGTTTTCTACCAAAGAATTTAAAAATAATTATTTTTTAAATCCTCATTTGAGGACACTTTTTCATTACTTTTAGAGAGAGAGAGAAACCATCAACGTAAGGGAGAAGACTCCCATATGCACCCCAACTGGGGATTGAACCTGCAACCTAGGCATGTGCCCTGACTGGAATTGAATTTGCAACCGTTTGGTTATAGGATGACCCTCCAACCAACTGAGCCACACCAGCCAGGGCCGTACCAAAGAATTTCTAATGATAGTTTCACAGACGTGCCAGGAATGTGTATCTTCAGGACCCACACAGAAGCCTGCTGTGCTTCTGTATGTACTTGAAGTCTAAGAATGAAAAACTTTGTTACCTGCATGATGCTGTGATTTTTACGCCAGGGGAGTGAGCATCATTTTGCTGTGTGAAGGTCTAGGAAGATCCTGGTGCACTTTCTGGGTGACCTGTCTTGAAAGTGCCTGTGGGTTCAAACCACTCAATCCTGTTCTTTCAGGCAAAAATTTACTCTGAAGGCAACGGCTAGGGTCCTGGGCCACGGGAATGCAGTGATGGTTGTGGTCTTCAAAGGCAGTAGACGGTGCTTGTGATGTCTAGATAACAGGTCTATGGGAGCGTGTCCTCAGACGAGGGAGGGCCGACCCTGAAGGGCAGATTCCATTTTGGGTAGTGGTATAATCTGAGACTCTTGTCTTTTGTCCACTATTTAAAGAGGATTCTAAAAAGACCAAAAAAAAAAGTCTGCACCTATTGGTCTTGAAATTCTTACCTTAAAGTGTCCCCAGGACAAGCCGTAGGTGTAGCATTTTGCTGTGTCTTCCAGGAATGTAGTTCAAAGTTAGCTTCACCTGACCACTCGCTGCTGTACAAAGCAACCAATTGTGCCGTTAGCTTGAAAATTTAGATTTGCACAATGAGTGAGAAGAAAAGACTGGTAAGATTTTAAAATGGGAAATGGGACCTTGCTCCGAAATAGCCAGGTGTGTCTGTGTAATTTTTTTTTTTCATTTGATGCTGTCCATTTATGACTAATGAACCTTTCAGGCTAAATAATCTATTAGTAAATGGGTGATTCTCAACCGGGTAAGCCAGGGACAATGGAGTTACTTCATGGGAGTCCGTACCTGAAGTAGATGGTGTTTGTAGATGTCTGGATCTACATACATGCACTTCTGTTTTTCAAATTTACTTAGGAACTCACATAGTTAGTAAAATGAAAATTTGTTCAAATGCATTCTGAGTTCATAGGTGCTATTTAGATTTTCTGTCTATTCTTGTTTCAGTTTTGGTAACTTATTTCCAAGGACTTTCCCATTGATTTCTTCTTATTATATTGACACATAAAGTGTTGTTTTTCAGATAACTGCTCCCAGGAGAAAAAAGATGAAATCCTGGAAAGTGAGAAGCCGAACGGACACAATTCCAAGCAAGAAAAACCGGACGTGCACAGTCAAGAGCACGCCAGCGCCAGCCCCGTGCTCACGGAGCCCGCCACGACCACAGCCCTGTAAGGGAAGCTTCCTTACTGAGCTTCGCGTTGGTGCGAAGTGTGAAATGGGCTCTCTTACTGGCTGCCTTTCTTAATGCTTTGTTAAGGATAAGGAGACGTTGCTAATCGTTTTTGAACCTTTTATATGTGTTAAGTTTCCAGGGCAATAGACAAAGACAGATAATCTACAGGGTAACTTCCCAACAAGACAGCTCTGTCTTGCAAGTCATCAGCGGGCCTGAAACATCTGTGCAAGATGAGATATCTGCGGACGCTATGCACGTCTTCATCGATGAGCACGGTGAGTCTCTGGAGCCCTTCGCTGCTGAGGAAGAGGGGGCGAACGGGCAGCTTTCGCAGGGCTCCACGTGGCCTCCCGGCCTGAGCGCTGGGCTTTGGAACAGGAAAGTGTAGCCCTACGGTTGTTCACTTAGAATGTCTCTGGAGCAGGGCGCGCTCTCTCTGCCCCAGGGCCTTTGCACTTACTGCGTCCCTATGTCCACAACCTGCCCTTCGTCCTTCGTTTCTCCACTCTAAAGAAAGGTCTTCAGGCAAACCCTTCCTGAACTCCCCAGGCGTAATCAGATTCTGCTTTATCTTCCTAGAACATCCTGTCCTTGTCTTTCTTTGATACTCTTACAGCTTATCATTATTTATGGACTTATAATAATTTAATTAATGACATTTTCCCCCTCACAATTATCAATTTTAGGAAGGCAGTGGCCAGCACCTAGTGATATATGTTGAAAATATGACCTTGATATATTTTTTCTAGTGCCCTGTTCTTAGGATTTAAAATAGTAGAAAGAGCCCTGTCTGGTGTAGCTCACTCAGTTGGTTGGAGCGTCATCCCATGACTGAAGGGTTGCAGGTTTGATCCCCAGTCTGGGCACATATGGGAGGCAACCAATTGGTCTTTCTTTCCTGTCTCAATGTTTCTCTCTCTTCCTTCCACTCTCTCTTTCTTTCTGTCTCTCTAAAAACAATGAAAAAATGTCCTCAGGTGAGGATTAAAAAAAAAATAGTAGGAAGAAAGAAATGAAAAAGAAGGATCATTAAGTGGCAAGTTCAAAGTTCTATAGATAATGGATATCCTGTGTTATGCCATGTGTAATGTGCACTGTTTTGCCCAAATTTTTGAGGGAAAAATAAGGATGCACATTATACATGGGGAATACTAATTCTGAATCTATGTAAGTGTTTTTAATTCTTTTATTTATGCTTATGCATTAAGTATAACTCTAGAAAGCAATAACAATATCCATATGCAAAATAATACCCTGGAATACAATAATCAGTTTTGTTTCTAAATAAAAATAAATAAAAAATTGAATTAAAAAAGTTAAAATGAAAGATTTTTTTCCCCTGAAACTTAGGGCCAAAAACGTGGGTGCACATTATACACAGCAAAATACGGTAGGTCCCAGTTCTTCGAGGATGGGTCTTGGCTCAAGTCCCTTACAGAGCAGTTAATGCTTATTATTTTACTCTAAGAAAGTTCCGGGGTTGAATAATAAATTACGTGGTACCTGATCTGTAGACCAGTAGTTGATAGGTTGAAATGCTTTAGCATCACATAGCACAACAGTGGCACTTTTATCACCGCCTACAGATGGGCCACGGCCGTCATTGCTGCTATTTCTCTTGGCGGGAGGGACCCCAAGGTGAGGTCCAGCGCTCCCGTCTGCATTCCAGCTGCTCGTAACACACACCATTAAATACATTTCTGGGTCACCTGGAGAAGGTACTCCTGAAACCTCCCCTTGGGAGAGACCAGTTACAATTACAAAGGGAACTGAGTTTCACACCTCAACACCCCAAATCTCTTTAGCAGACGGATTTGACTGCACACGAATTCCGTCTCCTGCGTCTCCTCGCTGCCAGGCTGCCGCGGCAGGTGGGACCGTTCAGCTGCAGATTCCAAGGCAGGGCTGGCGCACGTGGTCTGCCTGGCAAACCACATGCTTCCTGAGCCTCTCTTTGCACATGATACAAAAAACACCCATTTCCATCGTATACAGATCATACCGCCACGTGGAGAGAACATACAAAAAAATGCATCGATGAGGATATATAAAATTGAATTAAGAGATGGTACAAATGAATTGATCAAAGGCAAGTAATAAGTAACTGGGTCAAACTGGTCCAAGCATTATCCCCAGAGATGTATGACAAGGTTTCCTTAGTTAAGTCGCATACTCCGTGGAGAAATATGCGGCATGGACCTAGATAGCCAATTTTTATTCCACCGTTCAAACTGTGGCCCCTTGAACGTGAAAAAAGTATAAGCTGAAATGATCACCTGCAAATAATTGTGTGATGGTCTTTGCTGAACTTCTGTGATTTTGTAGGGGAAATTAGATCCTGCTACTTAAAGTCTGGAAATCAGAAAGAGGGCCCCCCGCCACATCAGCCTTCAGACTACGAGGGTTTCTCTCACGCTGGGTAAGTGAGCCTCGCGTTCGGGTTTGGAAGCTGTTGCATCGCCAGGGGAACATGCGGCTTCTCCTGACTGGGTGAAGTGAGGGTCCTGCTAGAGAATGGACATGCTCATCCTTTTGTAGGTATCAAAGTGCGTGGGTTTTGTGTGAAAGAAAAGGAAAATCTGACATTGCAGAATAATAAAAAATAAACGGGACTGTTGTCATCGTGGCCGCTTCCCCAAATGAACGGAACACGAAGGCATAAGCAGAGAGGGGCCCTGTGCGAACAGTGATGCCCCTCAGGAAAGAGGTGGTGCCGCTCTCGAGTATGTTATTCAGTGTGTTCCCAGGTTTGGACTAGAAATGTAGTTAGTTCCCGTCTGCGCCAATGACGGCACGCTGTTTTGTAGATACACAACCTAAACCTCTTCTGTTGACCTTCAGAAATGCATGAGATAACTCTTTGGCCTATGTTCGTTGAGGCGATAGTAATTCAGCTCGCATATCTAGAACGTTCTCACATTAACGGCGGCGCTGGGCAAGTGGTACCGCTTAGCAGGGGCAGACTGAATTCATCCTCATCGTGGCCTCAGGATTCTGGGAGGATGATCCGTGTGGACCTGCCCCTGTTGGCGGGCTCTAGTGTGGAAGTCGATTTGTCATGTGTGTTTCTTTTGAATTGCACGTGCACTTGGGGTTTATGGGAGGCTTTTGTGGCGTAACTGGAATGCCGTCGGCCGCGCGCCTGCAGAGGGTAACGGGGGATCCAGGAGCCTGAATCCCAGGTCACGTGCTTTCGTGCTCCTTCCCACGGTGAAAGCTTCCTCACCAGGTGTGTATGGGAAACTCACGGGAGCCCCCCTGGTGCCTAGAATAAAGGCCGTCCTTGGCCGTGGCCTTGGCCTGCCCTGGAATCCTGTCCTGTGCCAGCCTCGTGGGGTGTTCTCTTGTCACTGCCGCCGCTGCCGTCGCCGCTGAGGAATGCTGGTGTCCGCCTTGCCGGCAGAGCGGGTGGGTGCTCCGGGGGTGGCTCTCCCCAGCCACGCAGCCCCACCGGGGCCCTGACCCTGAGCAGCTGCTCGTGTCCAGAGCCACTTCTGTGGGGAAACAGGCCCCTCTCCGTCACCCACCTGCCTTCCACGCTGCTCTGTGGCAGGTGAGAAAACCCCGGTCAAACAGGCTTCCTCAGCACGCGAACCCGGGGGTCCTGTAACCGCTGTCTGGAGTGGCCGTCTTCACGGGGAGTTTCTCTTTCTCTGTCACCCTCCTCCTGTGCCTGTTTTGACACCACTCTCAAACCCTGCACCCCGGTGGTCAAAAGATGCCTGCAGCCGCCGCGACGTTACGTCCCCTCATTGCAGTCCAGTGGGGACAACCTGCCTCTTTCCCATGAACCCCGGGGTCGGTCTCATCCTGTCTGAGCGGCTCTGACGGGGCCTCGTGCCTGAGCCCCATCGCAGAGACGGGTGCTGGGCTCGGGGCTTTGCCACAGACAGAGCTGCCGCTGTCGGTTGCCTGTGGGAATGTGTGGCGGTGGCTCCTCAGAGAGAACTTTGGAGCTGGGTGGGTGCTGGGCAGCAAAAATCAACAGATGGCCCTCTGAGGACTCTCTCTGCCTAGTAAAGTGGCAATTGAATTAATTACTGAGCTTCTTTAAAGAGAATTATATCAAAAAAGCACCTGCAGTGGGTGCGGTGGGCGCAGTGGGCGCGGTGTGTGTGGTGGGTGCGGTGTGTGTGGTGGGTGCCGTGGACGCTGTGGGTGCGGTGTGTGGGGTGGGTGCACTGAGTGCGATGTGTGTGGTGGGTGCGGTGGGTGCAGTGCTTGTAGTGGGCGCGGTGGGCGTGGTGTGTGTGGTGGGCGCAGTGGGCGTGGTGTGTGTAGTGGGCGCAGTGGGCGTGGTGTGTGTAGTGGGCGCGGTGGGTGCGGTGTGTGTAGTGGGCGCGGTGGGCGTGGTGTGTGTAGTGGGTGCAGTGAGCGTGGTGGGCGCAGTGTGTGTAGTGGGTGCGGTGGGCGCGGTGGGCGCGGTGTGTGTAGTGGGCACGGTGGGCGTGGTGTGTGTAGTGGGCGTGGTGTGTGTAGTGGGTGCAGTGGGCGCGGTGGGCGCGGTGTGTGTAGTGGGTGCGGTGGGCACGGTGGGTGCGGTGTGTGTAGTGGGCACGGTGGGCGTGGTGTGTGTAGTGGGTGCAGTGAGCATGGTGGGCGCGGTGTGTGTAGTGGGTGCAGTGGGCACGGTGGGTGCGGTGTGTGTAGTGGGCGCAGTGGGCGTGGTGTGTGTAGTGGGCGCAGTGGGCGTGGTGTGTGTAGTGGGTGCAGTGGGCGCAGTGTGTGTAGTGGGTGCGGTGGGCACGGTGGGCGCGGTGTGTGTAGTGGGCGCGGTGGGCGTGGTGTGTGTAGTGGGCGCAGTGGGCGTGGTGTGTGTAGTGGGCGCAGTGGGCGTGGTGTGTGTAGTGGGTGCAGTGAGCGCAGTGGGCGCAGTGTGTGTAGTGGGCGCAGTGGGCGCGGTGGGCGCGGTGTGTGTAGTGGGTGCGGTGGGCACGGTGGGTGCGGTGTGTGTAGTGGGCGCGGTGGGCACGGTGGGCGTGGTGTGTGTAGTGGGTGCAGTGAGCGCAATGGGCGCGGTGTGTGTAGTGGGCGCAGTGGGCGCGGTGTGTGTAGTGGGTGCGGTGGGCACGGTGGGTGCGGTGTGTGTAGTGGGTGCGGTGGGCACGGTGGGTGCGGTGTGTGTAGTGGGTGCGGTGGGCACGGTGGGTGCGGTGTGTGTAGTGGGTGCGGTGGGCACGGTGGGCGTGGTGTGTGTAGTGGGCGCAGTGGGCGTGGTGTGTGTAGTGGGTGCAGTGAGCGCAGTGGGCGCGGTGTGTGTAGTGGGTGCGGTGGGCACGGTGGGTGCGGTGTGTGTAGTGGGTGCGGTGGGCACGGTGGGCGTGGTGTGTGTAGTGGGCGCAGTGGGCGCGGTGGGCGTGGTGTGTGTTGTGGGCGTGGTGTGTGTAGTGGGCGCAGTGGGCGTGGTGTGTGTAGTGGGTGCAGTGAGCGCAGTGGGCGCGGTGTGTGTAGTGGGTGCCGTGGGTGCCGTGGGTGGTCAGCGCGGTGGGTGCAGTGGGTGCAGTGTGTGTAGTGGGTGCGGTGGGCGCAGTGTGTGTAGTGGGTGCAGTGTGTGTGGTGGGTGCAGTGGGTGCAGTGTGTGTAGTGGGTGCAGTGTGTGTGGTGGGTGCTGTGGGCGCAGTGTGTGTAGTGGGTGCCGTGGGTGCGGTGGGTGGTGGGCGCGGTGGGTGCAGTGGGTGCAGCGGGTGCAGTGTGTGTAATGGGTGCCGTGGGTGCGGTGGGTGGTGGGCGCGGTGGGTGCAGTGGGTGCAGTGTGTGTAGTGGGTGCAGTGTGTGTGGTGGGTGCAGTGGGTGCAGTGTGTGTGGTGGGTGCAGTGGGTGCAGTGTGTGTAGTGGGTGCCGTGGGTGCGGTGGGTGGTGGGCGCGGTGGGTGCGGTGGGTGCAGCGGGTGCAGTGTGTGTAATGGGTGCAGTGGGTGCAGTGTGTGTAGTGGGTGCGGTGGGCGCGATGTGTGTGTAGTGGGTGCCGTGGGTGCGGTCGGTATGGTGGGCGCGGGAGAGGAGCAAAAGCACCGGCAATTTTCCTAGTCGACACATTGAATTGAAAATGTTATTATCTTTCGTGAGTGGGAAATGGAGAAAGAAACATTTAAAAATCCTGAAAAGTGACTGTCTTTACACCGTTCTACATATTAATCAGAGTTTGAGACACAAATTGGATTTGCAGTTGTGGGTTCCATTGTCTTGGCCCCATAAAAGGTGACTGTGACGAACTGTGCACCCCTGAAATCGGGAGTTCAGTATCTTGCAGCACGAACACCATCTCAGACTGGTCAAGGTTCCAGTTCCAGCTCTAATATGTACTGTTTGTTTAACATTGAGCTACTTGCTTAATCAACTGAGGCATCAGTTTTTAAATCCATAACTGGCAATAATACCAGTGATTAGTTCACGGGGAGGCTTTAAAAGTTAAATAGTCCAGGCAGTGCCTGGGGCAGCACCTCCTGCAGCGGACGCGGTGAGCGTCAGAACGCGGTGAGCGGTGACTGCTGTTGCTCTTTCCCGTCGGACGCAGCAGGGTTAGGGGGAAGCCTTTCCTCTAGCACGCTTATGAGTCTCCTTTAGGAGACTTTCAGGTGGTTAAGTACCTTAGATTCTCCCTCCCAATGTGTTGTGTTCCAATATTTTGGCCTCTGTGGCAATCTTAGAGTAGGCACTTTAATATTATATCCCTGGCTTTTAATGCTATTCAGTTTTGAGTCTCCCTGATTTAGTAAACATAACCTTTGATTTTGAACTTGGAAGGATTCCTGGTAGGGCTCTTTCTAAGCCACTCAGCATAGATGTTGGAAGAGCAGCCTTTTCCCTGTAAGGCGACTTAGTGGCTGGGATTGCCTCCAACTAGGCCATTAAACCGCCGATTCCAGTTATTGGCAAGAAAGCCCTCCCTCTTCACCATTGTTGAGCCTGGTCATCGTGTGACAGTTTTACATCCCTGACTCCCAAGTATGAATAGGGAATTGTTTGCGATGTAACTTCCATGTCTCTTTGGGGATTCCGGGAGGAAACCAGGAAAGGAAACAAATTTCCTCCCTTGGCCCCACTGTCCTTGTGGGAACTGATAAATTTCTCGTTAACTGCCAAAGAAATAGGAGCCGCGATTTCCGGTTGTACGACAGCTGTCCGTAAAGCAGGTGCCTTAGGTAACAGTATCTCCTATAATCTGTTTCCCCCAGGAATCAGGATGTGGAAACCCCAGCTCAAATCACAGCCCTTAGAATTGCTACTCAGAAGAACTTGGAGGCGATAAATTCAGATCCGTGCGTCATTATCCAGGACGTGGGATTGATTCAGTAGCTTAGGGCCAAAACTGAGCTAATCCACCTTGATGGTGGAAGTTACTGTTCCGCCGAGAAGATTGAAGCTGCAGTGGGCTGTCTGCCCAGAGAGTTGGCATGTATTTTGTGTCCAAAGGGTGTAT